TTTATTTATTTATTGGTAGAACCGGGGATTGAACTCAGGCTCTTGTACTTGCCAGGGAAGCGCTTATTCTACTGAGCCATCTCCCCGGCCTGTTTGGACAATTTAATGCCTATATTTTCTACTCCGAATAACTCAATTTGAAGATAACAATAAGCAATGTATTAGCCATTGTTAGTCTTATCATCTTGTTTTGAAATTTTGTTTTATTTCTTTTTAAAGATAACGTCTTGGGGGCTGGGGCGACTGCTCAGTAGAATCAGCTCTTCCCTGGCAAGTGCAAGGGCATGAGTTCAATCCCCGGTTCTGCCAATAAAATAAAATAAAATAAAATAAAATAAAAGTGTCTTCAAAGTAGGTACAGATGATCTTCTGGATTTCTTCAGAGTCTGGTGTGATTTTACTTTTTAATTCCTAATTTTGTGGACTTGAATCTTTTCTTTCCTTTTTTTTTAAAATTAATTTATTTATTTAGTGTGTGTGTGTGTGTGTGTGTGGCCAGCTCAGCCCACTAGGGGGTGGGCTGGCTGGCATGTGGTGCTGGGGATTGAACCCCAGTCGCTGTCCTTTTGCTTAGCTAAGCTTGTTCTAAGTAGGTGCTTTAGACCACTGAGCCATCTCACCAGCCCCCTCTTTCCTTTTTGATAAGGTTTTCTAAGGGTTTGTTGGTTTTATTTAATCTTTCAAAGAACTGACTCTTTGATTCATTGATTCTTTGTAGTTTCCATTGCATTAATTTCTACTTTGGTGGGGCCGGGGAGATGGCTCAGTAGGATAAGCGCTTGACTGACAAACGCAAGGATCTGAGTTCAATCCCCGGTTCCGCAAAAAGAAAAAAAAAATTGTGCTTTGGTCTTTATAATTTCCCCCCTCCTACAAGCTTTGGACTTGGCTTGCTCTTCTTTTGCTACAAATTTGAGATTCAACATTAAGCTGTTTATTTGAGCTTGTCCCATTTTCCTGATGTGGCTATAATTTCTCTCCTAGGACTGCTCTCACTGTGTCGCATATGTGCTGGTATATTGTATTGCCATTATGACTTAATTATAGAAACTAATTTCTTCTTTAGTTTTATCTGTGACCCACTGGTTGTTCAGGAGGGTGTTATTTAATTTCTATGTATTTATGAAGTTCTTCTTTTGTTTTAATATATTGGGTACAGGGTCTCACTACACAACTTGGACTCATAGTGATCCTCCTGTTTTCAGTTTCCCCAGAGCTGGGATTAGAGGTATGCACCACCACACCCAATCTCAGTGGCTGGCTCAGTGTGTCTGCAGCTGAGGCCGGCCACATTCAGTGTAAGGGATTGAATCCATCCCTGAGCTTGCCTATGCAGGTGCTTAGTCCACTGAGCTATCTTGCCAGCCCTTCTTGTGGGTTTTTGCCACTGATTTCCAACTTCCTTGTACTGTGGTCTGATAGTATGTCTGAGATAATTTCAGTTCCTTTACTTTTACTTAAGCATGTTCTCTGAACCACTGTGTGATCTGTTTTGGAGAACATTCTGTGTGCATCCGAGAAGTCTGTACTCTGATGATGGAGGGTGGAACACTCTCCGCAGACATCTACGAACTCTATTTGTTCAGAAGTTTGATTCAGTTCTTGTATTTCATTGTTGATTCTTTGTCTAAGTTTATCTATTTGTGACGGTGGGGCATTGAGAGTCTCCCAATGTAACTGTACTAGTGCTTACTTGATTCTTCATATTTGAACTCACAACTTCATACTTGCCAGGCAGGTCCTGTGCCAATGAGCTATATCCCTAGCCCTAATATCTGTTTTATATAGTTGGGTGCATTATTTTATTTTAGATTTTATTTTTGTTATACTCCAGATCGAACCCAGGCTCTTGTGCATGCAAGGCAAGAACTCTGCCCCTGAGTGGACCACGTCCTGGTCCACTGCTTTTCCTTTTTTTTTTTTTTTTTTTTTTGCGGAACCGAGGATTGAACTCAGGCCCCTGAACTTGCCAGGCAAGCGCTTATTCTACTGAGCTATTTCCCCGGCCCCTGAACTGCTTTTTCATAGATAAATCCTTTGACATTTAATGCCTTATTTTTCCTCAAAGAATTTTTTTCCTACTAGGTCTAAGAAAGGAAAAAGTCAACATCCATATACATGCTGCCTTGAGTTAAAACACTCAAAAAGAAAGAAAGAAAACACCCATTCAATTTCTAGGGACTGGGGCTGGTGAGATGGCTCAGTGGTCTAAAGCACCTACTTGGAACAAGCTTGGCAAAGCACAGGGACCGCGGTTCAATCCCCCAGCACCACATGCCAGCCAGCCCCGCCCCCTGGTGGGCTGAGCTGGCCACACACACACACACACACACACACACACACACACACATAAATATATAAATAAAATCAATTTCTAGGGACTATGTGGTAAAAAGATTAAATCTTTGGATAAGTACTGCACTGTTTGTACAAAAAAAAAAAAAAAAATTAGATATGCTACTCTCCAGAAAGTGACAGGACCTCCTACATAACATACTGAAATAAGTTAATGCCTTTCTGTCTAAGAACAGAAGTGAACTTTCCTAAAGATCCAACACACATGCTAAGGAAGTGCTCTGTCCCTCACAGATACACCCAGCTCCTCTCCCCACTGTTTTCTGTCTGTGACTGAGTCCCACTAAACTATCCAGAACTTTCGATTCTTTTTCAGAGTAGCTGGGATGACAAGTGTGCACCCGGGGTCCTGCTCACTTCCCCTGCTGATGCCAATAGAGCGCCAGGTTTCATGAGAGCAAGAAGGGCTATTTATTGTTCAGAGGCGGGGCCTCCGCGTTTTGGGGGAGTCCCTCCACTACTTCCTCCCCCCATTGTCCCTGTGGAGCCCTCAAGTGGCAGGTTGCTGAGCTGGTCATGGAGGGAACACATCTTCAGGTGGAGATAGTCCAGGGTGGCCACCTTCTCCCTGCAATGAAGCGTGTGGGAGCATGTGGGAGCCAGGGGCCCTGGAGCCCTGGGGTGTGGGGTGGAAGGAGAGGCCAGGGCCTGGCCCAAGACCTCACCCTCCTCCCATGCCCTCTGCCTCCTTTCTCACTCCGGCTTCATCTTGTCTGTCAGCAGCAGATTCTTGGCCCGCAGGGCCTCGTCTTGGGCCAGCCGAAGGGTGGAGCTCAGGGCCTCTGCCCGGACGTGTTTGGCCAAGGCCTGGCGCTCCAGCTCCTGGGGAGAGGAGTGTAGGCACCGCTGGGCTTGCTGGACTGGGCTGGGGGTGGAGGGGGATCTGGGTCGCAGAGGGCAAGGGGCAGGGTCCCATGGGCCTGCATCCCATCCCAGAGTTTCCCATTATGCCTTGTGCCCAAGCCTGACTCCAGCCTCCCATAATGCACTGGCCTTCCAAATTCCATCCTATGCTGGTCCTATGTCTGCTCTAGTGGGCAATAAATTATTTTAAAGCATTCTCAGGGGCCAGGGAGATGGCTCAGTGCAATAAGCACTTCCCTGGCAAACACAAGGGTCTGAGTTCGCTCCCTGGTTCTTTTAAAAAAAGCATTCACCCCTGGTGCCATTAACTATCCTGTTTGTGATGTGTGATTACCCCTTCATGACTCTGTGCTCCATCATTTACAAGGACACACATCTTCTTGTCTGAGACCAGCATCTCTTGCAAAACTAGTCCTTAATGCCTTCCTTACATCCCGTAATGTACCACACCCTGTGTTCAGCCTCTCATTTGGCCATATCAATGTTCCATACTGCCTTGCTTCTCTATCTCACCTACTATGTCTATCCCAGCATCTCTTAGGCCAACATCCTACAATACATTGTATCTCCGTGTCCCACAATGCAGCAGGACTTACATCCCAGCATCCACTGGGCTTCAGATTGTTGTACAATGACCTAGGAGGAGCCGGCCACTGTCCATTTCTCATAATCCAGCAGCTTACTATGACCTAGTCACTAGGTCCTCTGTCTAGCCTCAGTGGTTCCATAATAATGCATTGATTCTCTGAAGGCCTACAAAAATCAGGCCCATGTTCCATGAATCTTAAGACTAGGGTCTGTCTCCAGGTCCCATAATGCACCAGATCCAGTGTCCCATCATGCTTTGGGCTCAAGTATACCATCCAAAGTTGTGGATTTATTGGCATCTGACTCAGTAACGACCACGCTGCTTGCTTCCTCCCATGCTTCAGAGCCAAGTCCTCCTGATCCTTGCTGCTTAGTCTAGCCCTGCTCTTCCTGCCACATGTGGGCAGTGCCCTTGTGCCCAATGTTCCTCGTCCCCTTGTACTCCAGGATCCCCACCCCTTGCCCTGCCAGAGAAATAAAGCAGCACATGAGAGCCCATGGCTTTTGGTACCAGAATCTTCTTGTGTAGCCTCTGGCAGCTGGGACAGGCAGGAGGGGTCAGGCTTCTCTGCTTCACCTCATCCACCAGAGGGGTCAGCGCGCGCTCCAGCAGATGCTGCAGGGACTCTGTGGACAACTGCTGCCCCTGGCTGGAGGAGAGGTCACCAGAGGAAAGGGGTTCAGCACCTGTCCCATCCCCAAGATGGCCCACACTCACCTGCAGCCTCCATCTGGCCCTGGCCCGTTATGGCCCCCACAATCTTGCCATCACCCTTCAGGTGTCCCTTGCTTCCTATTCCCAAGGCACACCAGTCAGCCCTTGTTTTTCCAAGGCCTCAAAAGCAAGCATTTAGCTGGGTGTGGTGGCATGCGGTTGTAATCCCAGCCCTAGGGGAGGCTGAGGCAAGAAGATCAAAAGTTCAAGCCCAGCCTGGGCAACTTAGAGAGACACTGTCTCAAAATCTAAAAAAAAAAAAAAAAAAGTATGGGATGTAGCTCAGTGTGAAGTCCACCAAACAGAATAAAACAAATATCACATTTCCCACAGTACACAAGTTAAAGTTGATCTCCTAAAACAAATTAAGGATGGCATCCCTTTATTCTCCAGTGCCTCATCTTCTCACTTTCTGCAAAAATACCCTGAGCAGTTCCACACCTGCCACATCCTTGTCTTCTCTAGAGGCACTGCAAGTGCACAATGCTCTACGGCAAGTCTCTCGAGGTCCACAATATGACACTCATCTTGGGGCTGGCAAGATAGCTCAGCGGTCTAAAGCACCTGCTTAGGCAAGCTTAGGCCCAGGGGACAGCAGTTCGATCCCTGGCACCATGTGCCGTGCCAGCCCCACCCTCAGGCAGAGAGAGAGAGAGAGAGAGAGAGAGAGAGAGAGAGAGAGAGAGAAAAGAGAGGAGAATCAGTCATTTTGCAGGGTGGGAAGAGTGTGGTCCCAGGCCTGCCTTGCATGGGGAGGGCCTTGGCTCCCATAAAACACTCCCCATCACTGCAATGCACCGCCCTCATACCTGGCACAGCGCCCACAGGAGCCTTGGGGGGACCGATCCAGGCTCATGGAGTGGTCAGGGCCTCTTTGAGAGTTTTGAAACTGCCGTGCCAGCTCTTCTAGAATCGGTTTGACCGGGCCCAGGCCCTCCAGTTCACTCCTCAGGGAAGCCAGGGACACTGCAGACCGCTCCACCCTGAGGCGGGAAGAGTAGTGGGTGCTGTAAGGTCCTGGCAAAGGCTTCCCCCACCCCGGCCCAGCACTGCGCCTCCACCTGCCTTCGATATTCTGCACTGCAGGTCTTTCTGTTCTTACCGGGGATCAAACCCATGGCCTTCAGCATGAGCTACCTCCCCAGCCGTCTCCCTTTACTTTTATTATTTTTTTAGAGAGAGTCTCACTAAATCGTTAAATCTCAAAAAGGAGCTAAAACTTGTCTTCCTCCAGTCTCAGTCTCCCAGAGTGCTGATATTACAGTCATGTGGCACAGTGCTAGGCCCCTCTCTGTTCTGACTGTCCGCTCCCTTTGTTTATTTATTGAAACAGGGTCTTGCCATGTAGTCCAGGCTGAACTTGAACTATGTAGCACAGGCTGGCCTTGAACTGGAGGTGAACCTCCTGCCTCAGCCTTCTGAGAGCTGGGATTACAGGTGTATGCCACCTCGACCGCCCCGTTTGTATTTTAATATCTGGACTGATTTCACCCTGCTCTCTAATTGGCTTTTATTGACTCCAATTGTCCCACCTTGTCTTTTTCCTGAGTGTCAGGTCCCTCATAACTTACTATGGCATGTCCCTTCCTGCTAATTGGTGCTTCTCCACGTCAGTATACGATCTGGAAACTGCAGGCCCAGCTGATTGGCCCAGCCCTCCCGGCCCCACCCCATTGGCCCCGCCCCATCACTGGGCCCCGCCCTCACAAGGTGCACAGCTGATCTGCGCGATTGCGCAGCTCCTGCAGGCTCCGCGCTGTCTGCGCCTGGTCGCACTGTGCGCGCTCCCACTGACCCAGGAAGCCGTCCAGCCTGCCGCCCAGGCCTCCGAGCAGCCGCAAGGCTTCCTGCACCGCCCCCTCCTCCTGATGCCACCGTGCGGTCAGCGAGGACATCTCCCTCCTGAAGAAGAGACCACGGAGGGAGGGGAGAGGGAGGGGCCGGACTGGATGTGATCACTCTGCCATCGATCCCCCCAACATTGAGACCAGGTCCATGGCTCCAGACGCAACTTGTTTCTCAAATCTCTGTGCCATCCACTTGCAAAAATCCGCCCTCATCCTCCAGAACTCTGCCTCCCTTGTCAGCTGCCCCTAGCCTGCAGACACCTCCCGCCTGTCCTCTGGCCTGTCCAATGTGGCACCTCTGTGCCCCGCCCTCTCGCAAGCCCAAGCATCTCAATTGCACCAGCGGAGGACTTGCAGCCCAGTGGCCGAAAACTTAAAAATTACTTCTCTGAAGTCCTACCGGGTCAGGTCACTGTCCCCACAGCAGTCCTGCCTGGGCTCCTGGAGGCCCTACCTTGAGGTCCAAGCCCAGGATCTTCCCTCTCCAACATCTAAGTCCTGCCCATCTATCATAGGCCCCGCTCGCCACAACGACTCCACACTGCACCCCAAGCCCCAGCCACGTCAGCCTCAAAGTTGCACTCCTAGGGTTCAGCAGCCTCATCTGTAGAGGCTGCACCTTAGGCCCCGCCCACTTATTTCAGTGAGGCTCCACCCCACTTGGTCCCTTGCATCTCCAGGCTTCTCTCTGTTGTGGCCCACTTGAGGTCCTCCGGGCTCCACCCTTAGGCCCTGCCCACTCCAGCACAGAAAGCCTCCATCTGAGGTCACGCCCACCCCAGCCCCAAAGCTGTCTTTTTTGGTGGAACCGGGGATCGAACTCAGGCCCTTGAGCTTGCCGGGGAAGCGCTTATTCCACTGAGCCATCTCCCCGGCCCCTCAAGTTTTTATTTTTCTTTTCCTTTTGTTCTTTTTCTTTTTATCTTTTTGGGATAGGGTCTCCCTATGCAGTTCAGGCTGGCCTTGAGCTCACTATGTGGCCCAGGGTGGCCTCGAACTCACAGCGATCCTCCTGCCTCAGCTTCCCCAGTGCTGAGATTACAGGCGTTCCTCACCACACCTGCCCTGGTAGACTCGCTTCAGCCCTCGAGGCCCTACCCATCAAGGTTAGGTGTAGATCGCCTCCCCTGAAGGGGATAACCCTAGGCCCCGCCCACCTCAGCTCCTCCATGCCGGCTGAGATCTTCTGCAGCTCCAGCTCGCTTGCGTGGGATGCTTCCCCGGCCCGGGTCCCGGATCCGCAGGCGCTGGGAACCGTGCTGCGTGGCCTCGAGGCCTCTTCAGGATTCCTCTGAAGGCCCGAGGGGGAGAGGCCGGCCTCCAGCTTCAGCTCCAGCGCCTGCATCTCGACCTCCTGCCTCCGAGGCGTCTCGTCCTGCAGTTGCTGCTGGAGGTACAGCAGCTTTTCCTGGGCAGGGATGGAGCATGGGTCACAGCGTCCAGCATCTTCTTCCCGAAACCCCTCCACCCTCGTGGCCGCCCAAGTACTCTGAGATTGGGGCACAGTACCTCAAATTCCAGGCTGATTACCCCCTTACCTCCAACAGGGCCGAGTTCTGCTTCAAGACGTTCGTTTTGATTTCAGCATCTTCCACGGAGCGGGTCACCTTCTTGCAGTTCTCCTGGGTCAGGACACCAGGGCGGGGTCCCTGCCTTCCCGTTCAAGCTCCACCTGGAGACCCTCAGCCTCTTTCCACAAGGCTACCCGGAGCTTCCCTCTGCTTCCTCCCTCCTGCTCTCCTCCTCCCTGGCTTCTTCTGCACCCCTCGCCTCCTCAGCGCTCACCTTGAGTTGGCTACAGTACCCCTCCAGCTCCTCCGCCTCCTGCCGCCTTCTTTCTAGATTCTCGCTCAGCAGGGAACACTCGCTCTGGAGCAGGGACAGGCCATGGGGAGGAGTTTGGGCCTGGCGAGCACTTTCCCTTCTGAGTTTCAGCTCCCCAATGGGGCTATGGTTGCACTGAGCAGGAAGCAGGCTCTATCCAGAGGGGAATTTAGCTAAGCTGGAGGACTTAGCTAAGCAGGAGGAAGAGGAGGTGTTGGGGGGACAGGGGTTCCTCACACCTGCAGGGTCTGCACGTGCTGGTTTACCCGGCTGGTCTTTTCCTTCAAGCTGATGATAGAGTCTTTGGCATGGACTAGTCCAGTGTTCACCCCACTCTGGGAAGGAAGGGGAGACAGTTGGTTCAGGGGGTATGTTGACAGACCCCAGCCCCAAGAATAACGCCAGGGGCTGGAGAGATGGCTCAGTTGAATAAGCGCTTCCCTGGCAAGCGCAAGGGCCTGAGTTCAATCTGCGGCGCCAGCAAAAAAAAAAAAAAAAAGCCTCTTCTTTTTGGCGAAACCTGGAATAGAACTCAGGTCCTTATGCTTACCAGGGAAGTGCTTATTCTACCGAGCCATCTCCCCAGCCCCTGAAAAACAAATGTCTTGAAGTGATCTAGCCCATTTAGCAAGTGGGGCAAAAGAAGGGGAACAACATCCCTTGTACTTCCAGACACAGCACAGTAGGTGGTCTTATTAAGATTTGAAGTCAGAAACTTTGTTTTAAACCATGACACCATGTGGTCACTGATCATCATTGCGGGCCTGTGTTACTGGGGACTGAACCAAGGGCTTTCACACTAAGCTATAGCCCCAGCTCTCTTATTTTGAGACAAGGTCTTCCTGAGTCACTAAATTGCCCAGGCTGGGCTCAACCTTGTTATATTCCTGTCTCAACCTCCCAGACTGCTGGGATCAGGGGCATATGCCATCACTTGGCTTGATTGTTACTTTTTATCATCATAAACTGGTTTGCTGCTGGTAACCTGTGGTTCCAAGTGGGTGGATGTGGCAGAATCAATTCGATTCTGCCTGCTTCCACAGTTATCAAGATTTTGGCTTGGGGCCAGGCAGGGGGGCACACAGCTATAGTCTCAGCACTTAGGAGGCTAAGAGAATTGTTGCAAATTCAAGACCAGCCTGGGCTACAAGTGCACTTAAAGCCAGTTTGAACTGCATAGACCCTGCCTTAAAAAAAAAAAAAAAAAAAAAAGACTGGCTTGGCACATGACTATGTGACCAGGAACTAGATGTCCAGGCTCCCTTGCAGCTATGTGACCATGTGATCGATTCCAGCCAATGGGAGTAAGAAGTCTGGAATGTCTGTACTGGATGATGTGTTGGAAGAATAGGCATGCATCTCTCCCTCTTCTTAATAGATGATGGTTATGGGAAGAACAATAGCCTAGAAATGGAAGAACAGCTGGAACACAGAAGCTTGCTACTTTTGAAGAGCAAGGTTTTTATATTTGTTGAGACTTTTGTGTGAAAAATAAGCTATGTTGCTTATACCAGTTACTTTCACAGTTCTCAGTGCAATATACGAAGAGCAAAAACAAGTTTCTTCACTATAAGTTGGAGACAACACACATTTCAAGCATGATTGCTCTGGCGACCATGTGTGATAAGAAATATCGTATGTGGCCGATGACAATAAAATGGCACAATAAGAAACTTCAGAATCACACCTCCATAAAAACAGTGCGAAAACCACAAGCATGGGCTTCGCACAACTCTGGCGAGTAATCAAAGGTTTGTAGCAACTCAATGAGTATTCAAGAAAAAAAGTGACTTGGGGCTGGTGAGATGGCTCAGTGGTCTAAAGCACCTACTTGGAACAAGCTTGGCAAAGCACAGGGACCGCGGTTCAATCCCCCAGCACCACA